TTCATGGCTGGAGAGCACCAGGGCTGTAATAATATACGGTTGTATGCCGAAGGACACGACCTACTTATAAACACACGCAGAACATTCTAGCATGCTCTGGAAAAAAAATTGTACTGGATATTCAAGAAATTCCGAGAACTTTCTTTCCAATCAGATATTTGGTGGGACGCTCGGAACAGAATGCTCGGAGCCTCGCCTCGCACTAATAACCACATCGAGGGATGGCACAAATTGGGAAACGGTTCCATATACCGAAACCATCCATCTACATTCCGTTTCCTGGACGACATCATTGGGAAACGGTCAGCAGTTCAGCAGCGAATCGTCGAGCTCAAAGGGGGGGAGGGAACGAAAGAAACGTGATAATTGAATCGACATGGTGGGTCGAAGAAGATAACGGAGGAATATGATTTGTGACTCGATTTCTAGAGAGGTTTAACCTACGGTATGGAGTTTTGAAGTAATTTGACGATTGGACATTTTTTACTGCATCTCTGACTCCAATTTTCTCACGTTCTTATCGACTCGAAGAAAAGTGATTTTCGACATTTTTCCCAGTCCTCGATTTGGCCTTTCGCCGTTTTTTACTTGGACCATTGGTTCGACGTTTGCGATCGTTCGACAAAAGAGAATTCGACATTATGCCATTCGACCGTTCGAGAGGATGCCGAATTCCTAGCACGGGGTCACATGCACCAGATCCGTTTAACTTTAAACTCATCTGGTTTCACGATGGGCGTCTATGGGAATAACATTATCTCCAAACGGATTCCCATAGTGGACAGTTGTGAGATCAGATTAGTTTAAGGTAAACGGATCTCGTGCATGTGACCCAATACAGCTCACAATGGCGCATTGCCCTCGATTTGCATCTACTTATCCATCCTCTATCCACAAAAAGTGAGAATTCTCATTCCAAGTGCCTTTAAACGCGTTTAAATCATGGATAAACGAGTTCATGGAAACTAATCTGCTTTTCGGTGGTGCATGTCAAAGGTAAACACATTCTTAAATGTGTTTATCTAAAAATTGTCATCGAAGGCATGTCTTGCACGGTGTGAAAATTAGCCATGAAAGGCATGTATTTCGGCGATGGAGCTGCCCATCCGGCATCATGTTTCAGATGATGTACCTTATCGCTCTCGGGTCTCTTTCCGTCGCGGTAGGAGAGTCTGACACGAATTCGCAGAGAGAATTATGTGTTCTTTCATCTGAAAGAGAAATTCAAGATCCCTTGCGAATGTGAAGGCAAAGGAGTGAAGTGATACGTTTTTGCATGTTTCCTCGGACGGCCTGAAATGCCAGAAGTGCCTGAAATCTCCTCTAGTCGGGTTCCCTCTTCGAACTGGCGATTCAGAAATTCCAAAGCCTTCCCCGAAGTCGTAGGTGAAAAATGATCGTGTACCGTGCCAAAAATACCGAGGACTCGTTTCAACGACGTCAGGGTATCAGTCGGTAAATCGGTAAATCGCCGGTTTGACGCCATCGAGCGTCAGTCGGTAGAAACTGTTTTCTGTCGAGAACGTGCACGCGGTTCGACACATCCGCATCGTTGAGACAACGTGGACGACTCCGTGTTAAAACGACATTCAGCCTATGGTGAAGGCAATGTAAAAAAAAAGAAAGAATTTTCACTTTTATTAACCCCTAAACGACTTCGCTAACTCATTAGTACTTGCTGAAAATGTAGTTAATTACGACAGACGGCATTTCATTGCTGTTCAGTCTTCGTTGCTTTGTCATCGACATTGTTTCAACATTTCAACCTACAGTCGATGTTGACACTTAATTGTAACAGGATGGGACTCCACCGTGCTTCTGGACATTTTCTTCCTGTGATTTTTTTCAAATACAAGACAGCCCTGTTTTTTTCCATTTTTCATTCTCGCTAATGCATTTCCGCATTCTCGGGAAGTCCCACCGAATACTTCCCGAGAACGCGGAAAAATGACGTGCTACATTTCAAAGGTCTCTAGAAAGTATATCCCTGATGTAAGAAAAGGTTGTTACTTCATGCAGTTTTTTTTTTAAGTATATCTTAAGGTGATGTGTTTCGTAACGAATCTTTTGGTTAAACAAAAAAAAGTTGGGGTGGTCCCACAATGGTAGTCCATTAAGCGGTATTTTAATGAATGGAGTGGACTGTATTGCACGACGGAATGATGTCATTCCGCTTTCGGTGAAGAAAGGTGAAAAGGCTCAGACAATTTTCGAAAGGCTATGGAAACATTAATGGAGTATAATTTTTGTCTTGTGGTTCAGTTTCTGAATGGCTTCTCGGAATGAGAGGATCTCCCTTTCTTTTGATCTGGGAGCCCCTGAACGGCTTCCACGCCTCAAATTCGCCGACCGACGAAAAACGTCGCCTCGGATCGCCGTTGATCGACGCCAAAGGACATTTCGGAAACTGGCAATATTTCAGCCGAGTGAACCCATCGCGTCGTGTTGCAATTCAATGTCCTTGGTCGGCGGCCCGTGTCCTCCAATATTTCGGCTCGATTCACTCTCCTTTAACGAAAATTCCATCGCTGCTCGGTGCCTTGAGTTGCAAACGCAACTCAAAAATTGCAACTCATCTTTGGAATGGATGATCTGTTCCACATGAAAAACTGTGTCGCAAGACAAAATTTCCCAACAAACGATAGCCATGGAAAATATAAAAAAAAGCCTTTTCATTCTCTTCTATCAAAAACTCAATCACAGCACGTTGATGCGACTCCTCCATCCGTGTACCAAAGTGATCTTGAGTATAATAAAAAAAAGAGCATCAAAATCACGTGAAATAACATATGAAAAGAGAAGGTTCACCCTTCTTCATTTGATCGTCACATTTGTACTAATTGAAACACGCTCTTGCAATTTCGAGAAAGAACATTAGTACCACTTTTCTCTCGTCTCTTGCACTTCATTTCAAGGAAATGAAATTGTGATGAAGGCACTGTTGAGAGGCACGATTGAATGTCACACCTGAGCACACCTTGTAGCACACCTGACCGGTAATCAGGAGGCCCGGATTCAATTTCAAGTCGTCCCCTGGCTTTTTTTCGTCCTCTCTCGTCCATCCAACCTCCCTACCTTCAACTCTTCACGTCACAAAATCAGGAAAATCGAATTTATGCAATTTCATTTAATTAAATTTTTTTGCGGCTCGAGGCTGAAAATCGCAGATTCGCAACATGATTTTCTTGGTGTTAATTTGAAACATCCTTGGAGCAATGACTCAGAATGAATGACTCAGGGGAAAGGAGCAGCGGCGGGATAGGCTCCCCAAGGAAACAAGCATATACCTGTATATTCGAGCATGTTAACGCAACAGCGAGCGCACAACTGCGATTTTCTTCCTCTCGCCGTAAAAAATCATCGTACGAGAACTATTTGCGCCAGTTCAAAGAAATGGGAAAGGAAGGAACGGTACGAATGATTCTCTTAATTGCACGAGTGTGTCTTCAATAGCACGAATGTATCGATAAAAAAGGGTTGAACTTTTTTGGCCCGCCCTGTATATCGTAAGCCTTTGTTGAATCAGTGAGATATCGAATCTCCCCCGAAGAATACAGAATTTCCACTAACCCGCGAGATTGTTCGAAATCGTCTCAATGACGCATTAACTTTAATTACTCCTAAGGGATATTCTAAATCTCCCCGATTCAAATTGTGCCCTTACCACGGTATAACTTGTTCCACCGCGGGCAATACTCTTTTCGCGTGTGAACGGCTTCGTGAACGGTGAAAAGTGCCGCACCTGCTATTGTCTGCCTCTACCGAAAAACTGCAGAACGAGCTACGAGGACCGCTGTGTTAACGACGACGTCGGGAGAACCGATGGAAGGCGCCAGAGTGAATCTCGGCAAGATGTTTTCGGGGACTCTCGCCGATGTCTGACTGACTTTCGAAATTCCGTCAGCCGGCAGGGAGCCGGATGACGATGCTTACGTAACGTCTGCTTACGGAAGCAGACGTTAAGCCCCACCCACTTTCCTCCGCAATCTCTCTATCCACGGTCCCCCTGCTAGATGCACCGGACGAGCAAAGCGCCGAAGTTCCTCATGGCATTACGGTGTCCATCACCAGCACTTTTAGGGGAGGAACAAGCTACTCTAGTGGATAACTGGATCTACGTGCAAGGGCAAGGCGTCACCGGCGGGGGGACAGTGCCACCTCTCAAAATAAGACATTACTTTTCGTTGTTGGACTTCAATTTAATAGCACTTCACAAATTATTGACCGAGTTCCCAACAATGTTTCAAAAACAAAATCCCATTTCCCAAAGGTGTCTTTCCTTATAGGGGTAAAGAAATTGACGGAAGCATTGGCAACAAAACCGGGTGAACGAATCCCCTCTCCCTAGTGGAAGGTCATAACAATGGAACATTTCGGGACGATTCCAATAAACCCGATGGGTCATCAAAATTCGGTATCCCGCTAAGACTCGAAATCTCCATAGGTTCCAAAAAAACCCTACCAAATTTGCAAAAATGGTTTACACTGCCACAGAAAACTATGTGAAGAGGAGCAAATGATGGAGACACTAATGGTAGTCTCGGAACTTTTTCACTGCCCCTCTTCACATACAAAAGGGAGAGAAGAAAATTTGAAGACTCTTCTTACAGGCTCGATTTGGCAAATACTCTTCCGAGCGGCTCGGCGTAATCCATGCAAATTAGAGATAGTCTGAAAACTACTTCATTTCTGAAAATGAATCAAAGTATACGAGAAAGAAATGAGGCGCAACGATGAGTTCGTGGTCCTTTCCCCTCTCCTCCTACGGCCTCGACCCAATTGGGAAATCAACAAGATCATACTGCACGATGCAGATTCCTCGTTCGTTCTATGATATTCAATAATTAAATCTCCGGAGCGTTTTCAGTCTCGTATGGAAAAGGTCTCGATCTTGCTATAACGCGTGGTCGAATTTCACATCGAATCTTGAGAACGGGAGTGAAGCAGAAGAGAAAAGCGAAATTTGAGATTGAAGGCATGCAACAGCACAGATTCCCCCCCCCCCCCCAAAGAATACGTCCCAGTGCCGCTGAAATCCACAAGAAGCGAGATCGGGCGAAATCGACATCACTGCATAATTTTACCCGAGAAATTCAACGAAATGATTCCAATTCGTGCTTTCGTGACTGCATTCGTTTAATACGGTCTCCCAAATGTTCTTTCACGGAACTATGGATTCGACACTCTTCCGTGACCGAGCGATCGCACTCGGTCTCGCGACGAAGAATGATTTCGAAAGCCCGCAAACGCGACTTCTTTTACGGTTCGCGTCCCTTGGTCTCACGACCGGACGACGAAGGGATCTCCCAAGGAATGGCCTTGATGACGGTTTCGAATTTGCTCGCGGCGAGGTCCACGTCCTCCGCACGAACGTCACAGTGAAGGACGAAGCGGACGACGTCGTCCCCCATCGGCCCCATCAGCACCGAGATCCCCTCTTCTCCTCCCTGCGGACACGAACGTTAATATTTCCACCGACCGACGAGAGGCTTTCGTTACCGAGTTGACGTTTGCCGTCGGAAGCGTGCCTGTTCCATGAGGCGGCAGAAGCGTTCGGTAGAGACGACTTCCGTGTTGAGTCTCAAGAGGACGATGTTGGTGTGAACCCCGTCCACGTCCACTCCGACCATCGGGTGCGCGATCTCGGCTATCTCTATCGCGTCCAAGGATTCCTTCAGAGGCAGCTCTCGAACGCGAACGAAGAAACGAAGAAGAGAAAGTCCCGCTCACTCTGGGCCAAGTAGCGCGCCCTGGAATGGTCTTCCTCGAGACGACGGAACTGATGGTCCAGGGCGTAGATGCCCGCAGCAGCGAGGATTCCTACTTGTCTCATTCCCCCACCGAGCAATTTCCTCACTCTCAGGGCTCTACGCATGAAAGCAGTCGGAAGAACACCGTGCAAACATTCCGGGTGGTTAAAACTTTCAACTCTGCCAATTTCAATGCGTTGTTCGCGAAGGACGTCGTATGACGGTTGCCGGGCTCAAAGTCTTAATGGTTCACTTCAATCCCTGTTTTCTCTTCATACGAGACACATTTAGAAATAGCCCCAGTCGGTCGGCATCTTCTGTCTTCGGGTGGTCTCAATACATTTTTTTATGCGATGCTGCTGATGAATGATAAAGCAGGTATTTTAGTTATCTCGATATTCGTACCTGCTATAGTTAATAGAGAAAATTTTCACAAGTGGAGAAGATGGAGAGGTTTCATGGTTGGTATTTTCTAAACGACACAAAATCTGAAGATACAAGCCTATAAGAAAAAGTCCTATGGGAAACTTTCGATAATCTTCTAAGATTCCTATTGGATTATTGCTGGAATCCTATAGAACTTTTTCGTAAGGGATACGCGCCAACTTGGGTGTACGAGGGCTGATGGAAAAGTTATTGGAATACCTTGTGTGGTCCTTAAGCGCCATGGCTTTGGGCAATGTCCCTGCGCGCATTCACACATTCACTCTAGGCACACATCGCAGCTGTTTCGTTCAAGTGCAGAGTTGAATGCATCAGAGACAGTCGACGACATTGTCACCGGATGCAGGGAAACGCGGACGAAAGGGTAAAAGCAAGGTGCAGTTTTTGAAACTCTGGTGAAGGAAAATGCGACACTGGTGACCTGCGTCGACTTTGAGCTGCATTCGGCGAGTTCGTCTCGCCGAAAAGCAACGTGTATCTGTGGCTTCAGACGACGAGGACGGGACGACCTCGACGACGTCCCCGAATGTGGCAGGCCGAGAACGTCGACAAAAGCCCGGCCGAAGGCCAGCATCACACCGATCGATCGAACCGTCACGCTCTGGAATGCATTCGAAAGAGTTGGCATCGACAGGTAGCAGGTCGCGGTCATCGTGCGCGAGGGTCTGGGGTACGGGAAAGAGTATGCCGGGTCGGTCGGCAGACGATCACGAAGGCGTGAGATGCTTTCGCGAGACGTGCCGGACCCCATCGCTCCCGATGTTGATGATTTCGTGGATCGCAACACGTTCAACAGCAAGCTCGTGCTGTGGACGCACTGCGTAGCGACCTCCACCCAGCACTGCAGCATAAAGGAAAGTTCGCCCGTGGCAATCTCTTCCTTGCGACAATGTAAGGTCTCACGCAATTCGAGCGTCGATCACCGCCACCCGGGTGCTCGGTTAAACGATTCTGCCTCATCCGCGGTTCTCACGTGACGTTGCTCCCGCATTCTTTGGCACGTTTCAGTAGTCGAAGAGGACTCTCTGTGAAAGTCACGCGTCGGGTGCGGCAACACGGGCAACCCTTCGTCACTAGGTTCGATGCGTGGGTATGAATATGGGGAAAGTCTGAGCGCAAGAATGGGTATGACGAGGAAAATATGTTTTCCTGGAGTGTCGATATAGCGTTTCCCTACTGTAATTGTGGTGTTTCCGATTATTTTTTCACCAGCCCTCGTGCAAACTCTGTATTTGCGTGCTATTGGGTATTTTAGCATTTATTCCATTTTGGAAAAATTCTTGAGTTGTTAATTTGATTGACAACTTTTGCCCCTTTCCACAGTCTATCACTTGGACAGCAGCATCAAACTTATTTAAAAAATACAATGCGAGAAATATTTTCAGGCAACCCGATTCAAAACGAAACCCGTCTCCCAACACTACGTCCCATGAGCTACGAACGCGTGAAGTACCGTTGGATGAAGGAATGAGATCCGGCGATGAGCGATCCGATGGGTGCGCCGAGGCCTTTGCTGAGGCAGAGACTGACGGAACTGCAGCCTCGGAGGAGCCTGGCCGGAGGAACGCCTTCTTTCACGGCCGCATTCAGCAACCTCGCACCGTCGACGTGCACCGGGATCCCCAGCGTCCCCGCCACCGTCACCACCTGAAACGTAACGGTTGCAGCCGGCTCCGCTCGCCCGAGTCCCCCCGATCCCTCGAAAGAGACGCACCTCGTCGATCCAGGGAATGGGAAGACTCCTCCCGCCGCACATGTTGTGGGTGTTCTCGATGCAGACCAGAGACGTGATCGGACAGTGAGGGTCGTCTTCCCGCACCTTCCTCCTCAGTTCCTCCGTGCTGAACGTCCCGTCCGGGTTGTTCCTCAGCGGATGCGGGTGCACTCCTGCCACCTAGATCGGGAAATCCACCGATCCACGTCGTGTGGAAATGACACCTCGAAGGAAGCGTGTCGAGACCGAGAAACCTGAGCGGATCCTCCTTGTTCCCAGAGGAAAATGTGAGATTGGTCCCCGACGAAGATCTCGCTCCCTCTCCCCCAACAATGCGTCATGACTGCATGCCCAAAGGAAAAAATATATCAGGTCGGTCCCGCGACTCGGTCGTTAAATTTGCGTGATTTCGAGTCCCCAAAATGACATACTGCAGATGAGGTTCCCCATGGTCCCCGAAGGGACGAAGAGTGCCGCTTCCATCCCCGTCAGTGTGGCTGTTTTCTTCTCCAATTCTCGAGTAAACGAATGGAAGAAAAAAAAACAAGGATTCTCTTGAAATTCAAGGTCATCAGATATTGGGAAAATGATCACGACTGCGATAATAATCGAACGGGAGGAACGGAAACGTTTAATTGTATGATAACGAGTTAGAAAAACGAGACAAATATTTGCAAATAAATTATAACGAATAATCGGTCGAAATATCTTACGGAGGACGGTGGGATCGTCCCGGAAGACGTCGTCGCCGACGTGGGCATCGAACATCGCCTTCCTCATTTCCGGACCCGGTCGGGTCACCGTGTCGCTTCGAAGGTCGATCACTTTCGGACCCATGTCACCTGCTGCCTCGGTGCTCACGGAACGAGATGCGGAAGGGATCGACCTGAGCCTCGCGGAACCGAGGGAACAGGCTGGCAAGAGTCTCCCGGTGCAGAGACTTCTCGACAACAACATCGTCGCTCTCACGCATGCCTACGTAATACGGGGTCGTTCGAGAGATGGAAACGGAGGGACGCGCACGCAGGAGAGAAGTAGTCGACCTTGACTTCTCGGGAGCCGGTTTCACTTCTACGCGCGCCTCTTATTTTTAGGTCGTCCTCGCTCCTCCGTTCCCCTCCGTCCGACGAGGGCGAGGGATCCCTTCGTTGGGAAAGGAAACGAGACGATGAGCTATCGTCGGCCGATACCGGCCCTCGGCGAGTCGGACGAATGGGCCCGGTGGCTGCCGACGGATCGACATCGAACGCAAAACGTTAAAATAGAGAAATCACGAATCCGACGGACGCAACGAAGTTCTCGACACCGAAACGTCGAGAAACCTCGGAGTGGATGACGGCGAATCGCGAAAACGGCCGAAAAGGCAGACGTGGAACGCTGGGAGAGGCGGAAAGGCGTGGACTGCGGTGTGCAAGGCGATGCACTTCGTTCCCATCTCGGGCACAGGAGGGGGGGGGGGAGGTCTGTCTCTCGCATGGTGTCTATCACTCCCGGGTGTCGCGGATCGAGTTGCGACTTCCAAGTTCAACGTTTACATCTGTACGCGGAGGGGTCCCTGCCCGCTCCGTCTCCGTCCCGGCGCTCCCCGAACCATTCACCCTTTCAGTACTGGTTGGACTCAGGACTCCCACAGTTTTTCGTACATTTTGCATGGCCATGTGGGAATGCACGGCTTTGAGACCTCGCGAGACTCCCGAGTCCCCGTGACCTCTTTTGGAATTCGTATTTTTGTGGTTAATAACGTTTCATCGTGGACGGTTGAGTAAGGAAAATTCGTTTATACATCATTTATATTATAAAATTCAGAACGGAAAGGGTTAAACCCTATGCGGAGGTACGTTTGCGATCAGAACCGTGTCGATCTCTCGGCAACCGACAACCGTATTGTCGTCTTTTTTGGGTCCGTCCGCGAACGGAAGAAACCCGTCGTCGAAGGAGCCTGGAACTATACTTTCGTCTCACGCATTCCCCCCCTTCAACCGGTTAAAAAAAAAATATACAAATAATAATTCATCCTGCGATTCGCATCTCGGTTGAAGGCTTACGGAACTGGAACCGGTTTCACCTCGTTCTACTCCTTCCATCGAGGTGAGGAAAACCCGCCTCTTCGATTCCCTCGACGATCTCGAGACGCTTCCCGAGAAAATGTGGCGCCCGGCGACACGCTTTGAACGTCGTGGAAAAAATAAATGCGGTAAGACATCGTCAGTATTCATCATGCTCTGTGACGCGTCGCTTGACGAAGAAGGGGGGGGGGGGGGGGGGGAAAAAGGTTCCCGGTTAATTCCCGACACAAAATTCCCCCTCTTCCACTCCTTGCACTGCAAGGCATCGTTTTTTTTCAGTTCACGTTTGGGGGGGGGGGGGAAAGAAGGTTCCCGGTCGATTCCCTGCAACAAATTCTCCGATTGGCCAGTTCCCCGATCTTATTTATGAAGGACAGCACGAGCTACGAGCTCGTACTTACCCTCCTTCTGCTGTAGCTCTGTAACAGGCAGTTTCCTTTCTATCTTCTGCAGAGGCACTCCCGATACCTTCTTAATCCGTCCTCGTTCGTTTTCTTCTTTGTGGATACGTAGCACTTAAGATTAGGAAAATTCTTTCCGCTCTTCGTGGACAGCGGCGTAGCCAGGATTTTGCCAATGAGGGGGCTAAGCGGAACGGTGGAGGGGCTTCTCGTCCAAGAAGGGGGGGGGGCCGACGCATTTAGACTGGAGTTGAGGGGGCTGAAGGCCCTCCAGTCCCCCCTCCCCTCGCTATGCCACTGTTCGTGGATTGAAGAACAAAAGCACTGTCTGTTTCTCTTCTCACACCGTCCAAGGAGAGAACACTTCACGGTCCGTCCGATTCCTAAGCCTCCTGACTTCTCCCAATATACTCCCATTTTCGGTCTCGATAGACTTCTTCTTCGGGCTCTTCACAGCCTCTTAACTATCGAGTTTCCCCCACGGCGGTGGCGGGCTGGGTGAGTAGTTTTTTTTTCTGCTTGGAACTCGCGTGCGCGATGGAATTTCATTTCTCTGTATCGATTTATCCCCCGACCTTCAAACTTTGCTTTTTTTTCTACACATATTTAGGAGTTTTAAAAACAACAAGTACGTGTATCATCAAGAGAATCCTTCAAGGAGACCGTTTTGGACAATTAGTATGAATCCACAGCCGCTAATGAAATCGGAGTGCTTGGCAAGTTTTCTCTCTGAATGTTCATCCCACACCCTTGAAACTCTAATGATATGGAAAGAGCGTTCACAAGAAGTTTATGCTCTTTCTACACCAAGGACCAGTGGGCTAGGGAAGGGGTGGGGGGTTAGGGGTGTTCGAACCCCCCTTGGGTTTCCCAGCCCGTGGCACAAACAGGCATATTTCAACCTTCCTTGGGAATTCCAATTTTAGCTATTTGAGGAAAAAGTCCGATGTCTGTCCATAGATCCAAGATGCAAGATCATGAGTTCTTTGAAAAGGTAAATTTCGGGTAGTTGAGCTAAACGAAATGTTGGGTGCCCAGCAGGCCTCAACCCCCCCCCCCCCCCTTCCCTTGCCGATTACCTGCCTACGCCACTGCCAAGGACCCAAGACATTCGTCAAACCCACCAGTTTTGAGGTGCTGAAATCCCACGAGTATACTTGTCATTCGCACCACGCGGGAGATGGGTCATGACGAATGTACTCGTCATACCCAGTTAACGAGTTGATGACCTTTCGGCGTGGATTCGGGCATCGACCACGGCCAACTAGCTGCCGTCTGGATGTGGTTCTCGACCGAGTGAGCCCACGATCTCGGTTCTCGACCGCTTCTCTCCTCTCGCCGCCTCATTCCACCACCGCGTGCAGCGTTCTCCAGTTCTTTCGATTCTTTTCTCTGCATGGGTATCATAAGCCACGAGGGACGATCGAAACGTCGGACTTTCTTTTTCTTCTCTTGCGTCGGTTCCTCTCGGAGCCGAACCGATCGTCCGGTCGAGATGCCGAGTTACAGCAGTCGCGATCACTTGTGTACGTGTTCGAGTCCGTGTCATTTCCGGGGCATTTATTCGGTCAATTTGGGACACCGACGGAAGGGTCGAGGTGGAAGCAGAGTGCATTCCCAGTTTTAGGCGGAGGAGGTTCAAAAGGCTTTTTAAAATAAATTTCCTTTTTTTTGGGACCGTCAGGAAACAATTTTGTCCTAAAAAGTCACCTCAACACCCCCAACGGCTCAGACGAAACGGCTCGCTTCCAGACCAGGTTTTTCGAAAAATACCTTCTGTGGTATGTAGAGTCGGTGAAACATTCCCCAGGCAGTGGTTTTCTGGGGGCGTTCTAATGCTGCCCGAGTCGCGAGCAGGAAAGTCAGTAAACACCCTACGGTCATGGAGTTCGGAATTCTTGGCGCAGCCACGCCCACCTATGCAATGCGCATGCGCCATCAAAAGATGCATTTCGAGAAACCAGATGTCCTACACGGGACTATTCATTTCTTCCCGAGATCTCGTGGAGGTAGGCACTGCTCATCCACAGCACTCGCTGCACTTGATCGGTTTCCGAATGCACTCTGGGTCTATCTAGATGCTTTCCAACCACTCCACTCTGCGTCGCTTCCAATCATCTTGATGTCCATAGAGATTTTCTCACATGATAGAAGCATTGTGGTTCGACCGAGAAGAACGCGGAGAAGTAACGACCGTGCTTGTCTTGTGCGTCACGATACAGGGTAAAACTCGCAAGAAAAGAGTTTCTATTCGTTTTATTTTCCCTCGTGCCATTTCAAATATCGATTGCCTTTATGTGATAGGACGATTCTCGCGTTCTCAGGGCGTGATGTGCCCCTCGGCTGGCTCCAGTCCCACTTTCTTCCCTCTCTATCGAGCATTTACCACCGTTCCCGTTTCGTTTTGCTTTACGATCGATCTCCAGAACTCGTACGAAATTCTCCTTTCTCGTTTTCCCAGATCGTTTAACAAAACAGACGAGTTACATATGGAAATGCGAAATGGCACTTTCGGTCGCTTTTTCCTCTATAAATGGCTCACCTTTGCAACGAGAGAATATCCTGCTGCGCTCCGAGATTAGCTTCTCTCACCACTGCTAATGAAGACGTTTTCTCTCCTCTCGTCGCCCTCGCCACACGTGTCTCGTCTCGGTCCCGAGTATTCCTGCGTCTTCGAGCCATGCATGTCGAGGAATAAATGAGGAAATGGAATCGACGACTGCAACGATTTTTTTCATGTCCCTCTCTGGATCCATTCCTCGCGAAGAAATGTTTCTTTTCTGTTTTCTCGAGGACGAAGGGTCTCGGAATTTGCCCTTTCTTGGGACTTGTGATTTCACCTCCGGGAGAGAATGAAATCACGGGTAAGAGTCAAAATTCAAAAGAGAAATGACTACCTGGAGAAGTTTCCCGAGATTTCGACTTCACCTGTTACTTTTATTCGATGACGTTTGTTACTTTCGAGCCGAATTCCCTCCCAGAGAGGCGATTTTCATCCGTATCTTGCTCTTTCCGAATCGACGTTGACTTGACGGTTGCGTCCGTGAAGATGCCTCGGTGACAGGCTGAGGTTGCTTTATCGTCACGATGCAGCCTGGAACCCATGAAGCCACGAGAACACACGACGAACCGCATTCTGCCTCGAACATGATTTTACCACAAGCGAAGCGATTACATACAGAGTGTAACACCACCTCAAAATTTGAGTGATGGATGCAACAAAAAAAAAAGTTCAGGAAGCCATGACATCTTCATTTTAGAGCCTAGATTGCCGTCAATGTAGAGAAGAGGTCGCACGAGCCATTCTCTGTAAGCCGGCCAAGGACGTGGAATCCTCTTAACCTTATGTCGCCCGAATGAGGAAAAAATTTCGTTCATAGTCTGTAACAAAGATTATCAATAGAGGCTTTGCCGACAAGAAAAGAGCCATCTTCATTTCAATTTCCATCATGTAATGCAGGATCTATTCTTTCGTTTAACTAAAGGGGGTGATTTTTCTTTCCTAATGGTGGTCGTAAATTTTGATTTTGAGAAAGATAAAAACTGGGACGGGACGGGAGGAAGTTGTTTCGCTGGTGTACGAAAAGGTCGTTAACTCGGTCTTCTTGTTAATGAGATTTCTCTCGGGGAAGACCTGATGCTGCCGTTCGAGATCGATAGAATACGAGGACGCGGTCGGAACTTGAAAAAAGAGAAAAACTCCGACCAGGTGGAAAACTTAGTTGCCGGTTCGAGCCCGAGACGATCTGTAGTCTCTCGGGAGTTTCTCTTCTTTCCCGCTCTTTTTTGGGGCATCGACCCTGACGATTCTTCATCTCTTTAATTCCCGAGCAGAAGGGGCGGGGGGAAGCGCAGGTGGCCCGCGATCTGCAGCGGTAATTGCCAGTCCGTGGAAGTAGGATAGGACCCGCCTTCTACCGAAGGGCTCTTCGACGGAGTCTTTTGATCGTGCGGTGCGAACTGCGGGGACCGGGCTCGCCCAACTGGTTATTTGCCTCTCGCTGCTCCCCACCCCGATTCTCGCGAGAAACTTGGAGCTGCGAGTCGCCTTTCTGGGTCATCTCTCGTCTGCCTCCTCGGAGAATCGGACGCGGCCGACCGGATCGCCTCGACTCGTCCGGGAATCACGATCGGAACGAAAGGTTTTGTGAGGGTTTCACGGCCAGCCGTTGTCGCACCGAGACTATGGAAATTCCGTAAAAGATCCCGCGGTCGGGTCGCCAAACCTTTCGTTCTCGAAAACTGCGCGAGCACCAGTAACAGGGGTGCATTTGCTTAGCAAACATTTACGGGTCTTCTTTCTGCAAAACTGAGAATGCGTGCACGAAGATCGATGGGAGCTTCGGGAGGACATCGATATGTTTTCCGCATGGTATTGTTGGTTTTTGGAACCAGAACCACGACTCTGCCCCGGAATTGGGAATTTCTGATGCCTCTGCGAATAGGAGTAGAAGATATTCGCTACCAGAGTCGTCAGATCGGTGACGTCAGGAGAGACTCGGCACGGGGAGGAGCGAGTCGAGTTGAGAGGAGTCCGGTGGGCGATGTGACCCGCTGAACTCCAGGGACCGCGAGAGAGGCCTGCCAACCAGGCTTTAGGTACCAAACGAAGTTATACCGTCCGGAGAAAAGACCTTTTGCCACTCTCCGCCTCATTGCTTCTTCTCTTACGCCGCATACAGGATGCCACGAAACCGTAACCCTCCACCCTCCCCTTCCCATTCAAGTAAATAAGCTAATTAAGATTGCTTCCTAGGTGTCCCGTTTAAACTTAAAAATGAAAACATACATACAGTATATAGATTGAGTCTTGAGGCTGGAAACAGGTAAATGTGATTTTTTTACCTGTTCTTTTGTTCACAGAATTCATTTCACAGCGTTCAACACGAATAGGTAAAGCGACTCAATAAAAACTCAAATGCCTCGAGACAGAAGGACATCATATTCAGCATATTTTGTAAATATAACGTTCTACTATTTATAAAGTTAGAGACATATTTCCAGACTTAAGACACACTCTGTATTTACTCAGTCGAAAATGTTTGGAACATTTTTCAGCTTTTCGCTTCTCGTAATTGACTTATACTATCGTGGTGCGCTTTGAAGGCTGATTTAACACATCACATGCTTGGAAAGTTCCATTAAAATCCTTTGACTCATCTTTTTTAATTTTTTTTCTTTAAACGCAGCTGCTTATTCTAGGTGAGGCTGCAGTGGACCAGTGCAAACGGCCGTACTCGGTATTAGCACAGCCAGCTGAGTCTCCGATGCACGATTACAGTCGATGGACATGGAGTCAACTGTAACAGCAGTGTGAATCGTGCATTGTCTGAGTTTCGACCAAGGTTGCGTGCCTGTGCACAAAATGACGTCGGGTACTTTTACTTCACACTCTTCTGGGATGTGGAAATATTTTTTACAACTTTGCATGCCCGTGCTCATTTGCTGTATTAGCGTTCAGAAGCGCACTGCGATGGTCTGAAACCAATGACGAGCTGCTACAATCGGAAAAAAACTTCCTAAATTTACTGAGAACAGAGTATGTATTTTTTTTTGGTTCTCCGGCCCGCAATATTTTTCCCGGTCACTTCGAAGCATGCGGTTCGCCATTCCGAATCTTTGGACACCCCTGCTCGATAAAGTTCTAAAAAAACCAACTCGGAGTTGGATACAGTCAACGTTAGAGTGACCACATTGAAATCTCCAGAGTGGAACTGCTTGAAAAGTTGGAGGGATGTTCAAAACAAGATCAACTTCGAAAAGTCTTGGAACTTGATGAGATGACATGCTGCATGTGAGAATGCTCGAGATTCCCCAGAGGGATTCATCGCTAGACTGCAAAGTTGAGAATAAAACAGTGAGATTGGGGAGGCCACTGGTCTAATTTTATTGCAGAATCCAGTCACAGAGAGAAAAAAAAAGGAAGAAGAGTCTATATCTTTCTCTCTCTTTTCAATCCACAAACACACATTGTGCTAAGATTCCTCTTCTTTGGAAAGACAGGATCACAAGCTGCCGAGGCGGTGATTCCAGGCAAAGTCTCCCTTCACAAAATCTTAGTTGACTAGAATGCAGGAGACTTCCACTCTCTTTCTAATGCATAGAATTGGGAAGGAAGAAAAAGAAAATTCGGCCATCGATTCGAGGGAAGAAACGATCAAGGCCACTCTAAAGGGGGATACAGTAGCATCGCTGGATTAGGACTGGATCATCCTCTCAACTGTTCTGCATTTTTAAATTCCAGTACAATGAGTATCAAGTTCTGTTACACCAAAAAAAGCACAAAAAAACATAAATCACAGTATTTGGGATACAAACAAAAATGAAAAGGACAAAATACTTGATCATTTGAGAAAAAAAATAATGGTAATATCAGATTTTTTGAGATTCTCATTTTAGTGCCTGAGCGACTGAGAGACAGAAAACCTAAAATGGAGAGCTCTTTGGTGAACACCTTTCTGCCATTGGGGATCAAGCAGAGACCTACGGGAGAATCTACGTCTCGGACTCGGTCCAATTACATCTGTTCTCCAGCAAAGGAGCCGCTAACCGACAAGTAAAGTCGGACTAAAGATACATCTTGCGCATGCTGGAGTTGCCAAGTGTTCCAGTATGAGGGAAGGTGGGTCCTGGTCCAGGGGAACTGGTGGCCATGAGAAATGGACGATGCTCTGCGGTGGCATGATAGAGCCCAGTTGGGGCCCCGTTCTTGGGTGAGACATCCATCATCAGGTTCATGGGTTTGCTCGCATAGTGGGAATGGGGATGACGGGATCCAGTCATGTAGGATCCTGGGCCCAGATGGGGCGAGTGGGTGTAGCATCCTTGATCCGGAGGAGCAGATGGCACCGGTGGGGGCGGTGGTGGGTGCATGCTGGGCGGGTGCATTGTTGATTCTCCTCCAAACCTGCAAAAACATCAAGACCATACTGTCATGGAAGCCAGGGTACATATTCCCATTCAGACACACACAATGTTGATGCTAACATCAGAAGGTAAGTCCTGAGAATAAAGTTTGCAGGAGAATGTAAGCTAGTCAACATGACCTATACCTATGTTTGAGGGAGTAGATGCATTCCTCTTCTGAAAATGTGACTGCTAAAGTGCTGTCCTAATCTGCTGACATGGCATAAGTATCTGTATTGTGATAAGAGTCCTTCAACCAAATGTTGCTCCTAACTACCCAAGTCATGCAAACTTGGCAGGTTTAGTACATGGTGATTCATCATGCTCTCAGTGCCATCTGAAAACACTTGCAGTGCCTAACATTGGAATAGCATCACTGTTGCCCATTCCTTTTAATTGGTGCCTCCCTTCTTCCCATTGCTTTGGAACCAATCTCATTCATCCCTTTCATCTGCATGGCAACATGGACAATCTCACCAATACCTATACCTACACCAATCGGAGAAGTGGTCCCTTTGACAACAAGTGCCTGTATCCTGACCAGTTTGCACCATCAAAAACAACTGTAATGGCAGGAAACTTGAGAAGCTTAACAACTTCTATGAAAAGCCTTCACCCCTTTCTTTCCTGTGGTACTTTTCCCTCTCATTTCTTCTTCAGTCTATGAGAGAAGGCTGTGACATGCCTTCATATGATGCCACAGCTCTTTTCACTTAAACATGCCACATATTGCTTTTGTGTAAGTTTTGCATGTCTTCCTCTTCAGCTCAAGTTGTCTGACAAGCCTGTATAGATAATGTGTGACCCTTGCTAAAACCAATGAACATGGAGGACTTCAAGCAGAGATGCACTGTACTATCAAATTTTGTGTCAGTGCTTAACCCTTTCACTGTTATGCAGAAAAAATATCCACCATCTTCCCTGTATTATAAAAATTGGAACTGCTTACCTAGACATAGTCCATTGAAAACAATGGTCAATGTAAGAAAAAAGAAGAAGAAAGAAAGTAATATCATGAAAACTAATGAAGATTGCTGTTACACACACAAATGGCAGTGAAAAAACCAAGAAATGGTGAATGGTCAGAGCCTGAGAACCCAAATATGTACTTAGGTAAGCAATGAAGAGGTTAACCTTATGCTCCATTATGTCCAGTATGCAAGATGCAATACAGCAAACTCTTCAGCCATAAAAAAAAGAAAAAAAAGTTGGTCATTGTGTGACACAGAGATAGCAACCTGAGGGTACCTAAATCTTTGAGTGGCACAGACAGTTCAAGGATATGAGAACTAAAGATTTTTGACCCACATTAATGGCACCAGGGCAGCTATTGCACAATAAGCGATTGCAAACAGATAGATTGACACACATCATGAAGAAATGACATATTCTTGAGATAAGTCTAAGTAAATAAAAATAATTTAAATGAACAAGGGTGAGGAATGAAGAGACCTGTGTAGATTGGGTCCCCTTTGCTCGAGGAACTCATACTCAGCATCCACACAGGGCCCAGCATCATAGTGTTCCTTGCGGCACCTCCGTCCCACCATCCACCCAACGAAAAACCCAATGAGAAGAGCACCCAGGGTGGCCCCCGTCACAGTGACAGCCAGTGTTTCCACTGTGTACAGACCTCGTTGGTCTATGATCTCCACCCCAAGCTCTGTTGGTGCCTTTCTTCCCCGCTCTCCTTCCCCATCTATAGTAGTACAGACAACATAATCAGCATCAAACAAGTCTAAAAATGCTGCCTGCCATTCTAACCTCTTTAGCCTCAGAAGCAATATAAGAGAATACTCTCAATTTTGATATTTTTGTCCATTAAAAATTATTTTAAATTTCCAATGCAATAAAAAGTTCTGCATTAATCCTTTGTGGTCCCATTGTTGTCCCTGTTTGTTGTCAGACTATGTCTGACAACAAACCACTAAGGGTTAACGATGAAGTCTGAAATACTGACTGAATTTCAGCTATAATTTAAGTTTCAAAAACACCCCCTCTCCCCAAGTTCCACATGAGATTGACTGGATCCATTGCATCATCAAAGCAGTGATGCATGTCAATAAGCACTAAGTGAATGGACCTGGCTGATGGAGGCAAGTTGCTGTAATATGACTGCTTCTGCAATTTTTTAAATAAATTGTTTACACATTCCTTCAGTGTCAAGAAAGTCTCCTCCTTATATAGCTGTCTTTGCTATGCATAGCCAAGCCTTATTCTGAGGATTAAAGAGAACATTCAAATAATTCCTTAAATATTGGGGCTGAAAGGGTTGATTAAACAAAGAAATAACAAACTAATGAATATTTCATTCACATGACTTTTGACCTTCAAATAAATTGTTATTTAGATAAATAAATGTTTAGATTTTTGAACTCTCTCTAGGTCTACTTATTTTTATTCAACATGTTCATCAGCTTTCCAGCCCCTGCCAGTCTGACATTCCATGTGATGGCTTCATGACTGCATAAACACAAGTTCATGGGGTTATTGCATGCAGATATCATGGGAATACCTCTAGATGAGGAAGACTCAGCACCAGCAGTGAAGATGGTGCCATGGAGCCGTGTTTCCTGCTGCCCTTGGCCTGGAATGGCACGGGACTTGGAAGCATGAAGTGCTGTGCTTGACATCACCTCTCCTATAACATCCAGTACAAAAGAGAATTATACAGGATGAGACAATGGAATGGGCATATATGAAGTGAGTAGAAAGGGGAAGAGGAGAACCTTGGGGACATCGGGGGCTGACTCCAGTTCCAACAGCCTGGATGAAACGATCTGGATTTGAAGGAATGGATGGATCCAGTTCTACACATGCCCTGCGGCTCTCATCCCAGGCACAATATGGATCTCGCACCGAGACACACTCACTAAACACAAACATGTACATTAGCATTCAAGAACACAAGCATCAGTGACTAAGTTTGAAATTTTAAGAGAGACAGGCAAACTATGAATGATGGCAAGTGGCACCTTTACATCTCTTGTAAAAAAGCATACCATCTAGGATAGTTTACAGCACAACTAAAATGGCTGAGAGGGCCTTTTCTGATTTTTACTCGCCTACTGTGGGCCACAGCAGGCTGATCATAACTGTCGCCAACAGGACAGGAGCCATAGAAGCATTTACATCATAACTGTCGCCAACAGGACAGGAGCTATAGAAGCATTTACATCACAACCAGTCATGACGGGCCAAAGAAAAGGGCCTTTCAGGTCGCATGCGGCCTGCGCACTGTATGTTGTGCACCCCTGGTTTACAGGGTTAGAAGCTGAGGTCATGAGAAGCAATGCAGAAAGTTGAAACTTTTTCAATATGCCTTCATGTTGCATTTAGCATGAGGCTTTGAACCCCTTTCTTTGATAATTAAAAAATTGACTTTTTTGCATTGTTTTCTCAACCCTATAGTTGTTCCTGACTATAACTGAAACTATTTATAGGATGGTTTTCTACTGGAATGGGAGTTCATGTCACCAAGTGTGACCCTAGTCATTAGTTAATGACCTTTGGCATGCTACATGAAGTATTTCAAGACAGCTGGATGAACCCTTTGTACCATAAGCTGAACACTGGTGCAGGAATCTTTCAGGAAATGGTGAGGAATGCTTTCTCTTCCAATCAATGGGGGGGGGAGATGAAAGAAGAAGAAAGAGGGGAGAATGCCAACTCATTTGTCACTGGCATGGGCCTAGGGAGACAGAGAGAACCAAGAGAAATGGCCCCTCTTCCCTCCCACTTTTTTCTTTTCCTTTTTTTCCTTTTTTATTCTTCTTCTCTTCCATGCCTACAGTATGCCAGTCCGCACCTGTACACATGTGATTCCATTATGGAAACAAGGAAATACTTTCAGTAGCTTTAAGCTTCATTAAAGACCTGTATAGTACAACTTATAATTCATATATCTTGAAGCTTATAGGAAAAACTGCTACACAGGAATGCCAGAACTGTTTCAAATAAATTATGGTGCACTCAAAAGCTCATTCTCTACTCATATTTTGATATCTACCTGTAATTCCACAAATGAATCATTGGCTGTAGTTCTTTTCACTAACTAGACTCAAATTTACTCTTATTAAAACCTTAGAATCAAAAAATAAAAATCAAGGAGCTCTGTGATGCCTTCCAAGCAGATATGGTGTATGGAGAAAAATGGTTTTCTGGATGAAGGCAATAATTTTTTGCAAATCCATCGGAAATTATTTTAATTGCAAGGCATCCTCACTCGTGCTTGAAGAATGGAATATGAAATACCAAAATTCTTATAGTTAATTGGGCTTTTAGATGAGACTATTTGAAATGTTTAAGGCATCCCTGGGAAGCTATGTTTAAAAAATATAGTGATTTTTTAATATAACTCTGTGCTTGAAAACCACTGCAAACAGTACAGGATATTCAATTATTCAAATTCCTAATGCATTTTACTCTCTACCTCTGTCTTAGCTGAGGTCAGCATTAGATGCAGACAACATAGATGACCAACTAGAGGGTGCTTTGATGGCTTGGGGCACACAGAGCTAGAGCATCAGCGCTCTTGGCATGCCTCCAGAAGAAGAAATTTATTGGGGATAGGTCGCACAACCTTACTGTTCATTCCTTCAGTGACCACTGCCTGTCAACCCAGCACATCAGGAATTCCAAATCAGAGCACTCCCTCACTTCACACACTATACGAGGTGCAGTCAGAAAGTCCATACCGTTGAGCCATATCTCATTAACAGTCAGGAGTTCTGAATAGAAACTGTAGTCACTTTTTAACATAATCACCTGCTATACCTACACACAGTTTCCACCTTAGTTGTCAGTTACTGAAGAACTTCGCAAATGCTTCCTCAGGTGTATGTTTAAACCACTGGTAAACTGCAGTACCACGAGCTTGTCGGGAGCCATACATCTTACTCTGTAACGAATCCTAGAGTTCTGAGGACACCCAAAAGTCATAGGGTGCCAGGTCCAGTGAGTACGGGGGACGGGGAAAGGCCTCGATACCATTTTCTAAAAAAATCTCCCTTACAACACCTGCCTCGTGTAGTGGTGCATTGTCCAGGTGAAGAATGAACCAGTCATTGGCCTTCAACGGATGCAATTTTTTAACTTCTGGTAAAAGCTCTGTTTGTAACACATGTTTGTAGCTTCCATTATTGGTTGCACCTTTAGGAACTATGTGAGGTAGAACTAAACCCTGTTTGTCCAGAAAAATAGCGCAAAGAACTTTCTCATTGGAAGGGGCCTGACGGATCACACACATTTGATCACAGTTCTTAGTTCTTCTTCCGTAAACTCCATTGCTCAGGGACAGTAGGGGAAACTCTGTGTTGAAAAACCAATGCTGCACACAAACAACAATACCAATTATGTTCACAATGTGCTGTCTGACTCACAACTGATCATAATACCTTGTCCAACCGTAATTTATTCCAACTAATTCCAGAAATGCATGATAGAAGCATGCGGTGCTGAATTTCTGACTGCACCTCATATGTGCCCCAGCCCATTTTGCTTGTGCTGGTGGTTATCTAGTCACTCATCCCTGTCTGCATCAGTTCAGAGAAAACATTGCTATGCAACAACTGAAGGTATTTCTCACCATTACTGGTTTCTATCAAACCACCACCATATCTGAAAAAATAATGGTCCTCCCAAACCGCTAGAACTCATGCTGCACTAAATATTTAACTCTGGGGAGTCACAATGATATTTAATAGTTTCATGGAGATATTTCAATTCTCAGATGCACCAGATGCGCAAAAAGTTTGCTACATATAGGGCAGCACATCATATATTTGTTCAAATACGTTGCAAAATGCCGTTCGAGGATGGAACAAATGAATAAATTTGTATTCCATACATGTTAAAGACCCATAAACTTCTAAGTGAATGTCCTTCATTAGCCCCGAAAAAAGTTCATGTTCTATTCATACGTTCCATTAGCTTTCATTGATAGACATAGCATGAGTACATGAGTCAAGCATATAAATAGTGAATAAACTCATCGATCACTCCTTATAGTGTTGTGAGCTCATATGACACATATTCAACAGACAGTTTAATGGAACATATTGGGCCTTTAGAGAATAGTTACAGTGTACCAGCTAGTTCCTTATTGACAGGATGAATATATCCGCGACATTTTAGTTCTTGTCGCAGTCTTATTTCAGAAGATTCCTTTAAAGCCTTGTTGGGGAAATTTTGGAGAGAACGGTCTCGGAAGAAAAGAAGCAACTGATCGGAATGGCTAGGAAGTGAGTTAAGGAGAAACAATGGAAGGGAATGTACCTGCAGGAGGAGAGATGTGCCTTGGAGCACCTGGCGAGAGGGAGACGCTTCACCTGGGAATCTGAAAGGACCAAGAGAAACTTCCTTCCGAAATTTCCTTTCTCGTCGTTGAGAATCTGGATATTCCGAATGGGTTCCCCAGTGGGGAACACGTGAAGTTCCTCAATCACGGCCTGGTCGACGGAATCCCACGAGGTCCAGGAATTTCCGTTCAGGACCTTGATTACCCAACCCCCATCTGTGCGAAGAGGCACAAGGAAAGGAAAAAGAGAACCCTTTGAAGGAAGAGCCAGACGGCAGGAGGAGGATTCATACCAGTTCCAATGAAGAGGACGTCGAAGGCTTCACTGTTCACCGTCTCTACCTGAGGATCCACGGCGATCTTTGTGAACCGATACCTGAAGAGGAATTGAACAAAGAATTTAATTTTGGAATCACACAACTCGCAACGGAAAGCGGACAGTTTTAAGGACGAACTGGGCGGTGGGAACTGTTCGCAAGAGGATGGGCGAGCCGAAGGTTGCAGGGACGGCTTCATCCATGATGGGATGTGCCTCGATCCACGTCGCATCCACGCCTCGTGACATGTTAACGCACCGACCTGGTCTTGCCTCCGGCTGTTATTGCACCGATGATAAAAAAATTCAGTTTCTTCCAGTGATAAAGGAAAATGTATATTCAAGAAAGCAGGAAGTGTGAGAAAACGAGATGGATGAGCTTAGGCAACGATAAGCAAGGCAGAAAGAGTTTACAAAGTAGGTATAATAGAATCGCGGTTGAATGATGACAAATTGGAAATGGAAGTCCAACCTAAAGAAAGAAGTTAGCAGATTAGAAAGAATAGAAATAAATTAAATCAAGGATGGTGTGAAGCGTTCAGCGGGAAATGGATTGACTTAATTTAGCATGGGGTTATTGGAATTTCTCTGCATTACTCCAGTCACAAGCAAGAGGGAGTTGAGTCTTGGAGCATGCTATCGGCTTCCAGATGGTACACAGCTAGAAGATTTAATCTGTTAACTGCCGAGATTCTAAGCAGGTCTAATTTCGGGTAGATTGTTACAGGCCGGGCATAATTTAGTCTCTAGAAAACAGATCTACAGTTTTCTTTTTAAATCCGTCTGTTTCAGGGCCTCATGGCTCGTACTATTCACACACTCATCGCACAATCGCCATAGAACTTATTGCTCGATGTCGGTTAAACATCGGATGTCCTATTTTGAGGACATCCAATTATGACATCATATAAAATACTCGTTGCATAATTGAGAATTTACCATTGCAGGTCGTGAATCCTTTGAAGTGTCCTTTTCGATTCCGTGCGATTAAATATTGGATTCAATGAATTGTACTGTACTGCTAAATTTACAAAAGCAAAACACCGCATTCCTTCGTGGCTAAAGAAAATTGCCTAACTTCGAGGCATATGTGAGCTGTGTGATATAGGGTCCAAATATGAAAATTCGGGTTAATCCTATGGAAACGAGGGCGCTAAATATTTCGAGTCCATTCTATCTATAAAACATCTACAAACAACAAGAAATGGGAGCATTCAAATCAAGTGTCCTCAAAATTAGACAGACAGACAAGACCACGAAAAGTACTTGGTAGCACGTTAGGAGAAATTTCAGAAGGGATGATTTCAATAGACCTAACAGTGCCATCTATCGCGTCAATTATCATACATTATAGACCTATTGTTCAGATCTACCCTAAAGATCCTCATGAGCCAGTCCTGGCATCCTAATTACCATTGTTACACACCACCTTTCAAGGTTCGATTAAAGCATCAAGAGGCATTTTTGCTGCCATAAACACTCCAAGGTAATGTCATCAATATGGGCGAAATGGCTTGAAACCCCTACAGGATACTGAAACCAAGAATCCTAGGTCACTTTTAACTAAACCCACTGGAATGGGGGCAATCGTACAGACACAGGGATACGTTTTGATGGTCCTTCTGGTTATGGGGAACACGAAGAGAGTTCCAGTTCCTATGTTGCAAAGCAAGCAAGGACGCCCCCGTAACAGAAGAAAGGAAGCATATGTTGTGGTCCTGCGTGTTCTGCGGCTATAGCCACAGAACTTCATCATATCAACTGGAAGCGGCCATTATAACCATTCCTCTACGAGTCCGCCACCATTCTGTCCTCGCCATCGCGATCGAAGTGACGTTTCAACCGCGAACAAGGACATTGAAAAAAAGTTCTGGTCGGCTGGTAATGCCAAAACGTGCCCCGATTCCCGCAAGTGAGGACGTCCAAGGAGAGTAGATTAAGCAAAGAGTCTTACGCCCTTGACGGCGGTCCACTTGGCATTGCCTTCATTATGCTTGAAGCGTCCCTCGAAGACATTCAAGATATCTCTGAGGGAAAAGGCACAAACGGCCGACCCGCCGATGCTGTTCTGCGGCGTCGTGAATGTGCCATACATCAATCTCGCCTCTCTCCCGCCGTATTTTCCCTCGACGAACTCCGTCGCCCCCTCTGCAACAAACACAACACGATCGATGAGCAATTAAAGCCCTGGGAAAGGGAATAGGAATGCCTGGGACGAGGCGGACGCGACCGGAACGTCTGATGAGATCGGATGAATCAATGAAAAGATAGGGGAGAGTTCTCGGGGATTAATCCCTGCCTGGGATATCCTCCGCGAGACAATGGCCTAGACTTAAGTCGCATTTCCTTCGCCTGCTTCAACCAGACGGGGGCAGAGAACAAACATTTTCCAGAACAGGAAAGATGGAAGGGATGATGAGCGTAATGGCTATTGCCAAATTAGACCGAGGGGGAAGGAAGGAAAAGAAAAAGAGGGGTGGGATGCACTGGAGGGGAAAGAGAACTTGGAGGAAAAGGGAAAAGGAGAGAGAAGCAAGCATGAGAGACATAATGAGGAGGCTGGGAGAAGGAAAAGGAGAGAGGGGAAAAAAGAAGACACTTCCCAAGCAGAATACCCATTCATCATCATCCCAAGCCTTTCTTCCCTTTCAAGGCCTGCTTTATATTTTCATTTTCATCTTTGCTGTCTTCTTCACACGACAGCGAGGAGGAGCCGTACGTGGATACGGGGAAACGACGAAAAGAAATCCCAGGAAATGATTTTTGGAAAGAGACAGAGAGACACACGGGGGTAGTAGAACTTCCATCAGCTCTAGATCCAAAGGCTGAAAGAAGGAATCGGAATGCATTCGGGGGGGATTTCGGGACGAGATGCCTGTCATAAATCCTCGCCATCTTCCTCTTCCTGTAATGAAGCCAATGTAAGATTTTTTCGAGATCCTTCCCTTCACCTCATGTTAGGGAGCCCGAATTTACAGCGTAGCCAGATCGAGATGAGAATATTGTCCTTCATCCCTCTCATTCCTCGTCCTGATCGGAAAGCAGAGACATTCGTTCATCACCATGAATACGGTCGCGGTCCCATGCCCAAGAGAGCGGAATGAATCAGGAATTTCTATGGATGACGTGCAAGTCAGTACTCCCTGTCATGTTGCAGGCAAACGAGTTGCCGCCATACATGAGACGATACTGCTAGTGGAACAATGGACTGCAGTCACCCAGTCTTATCCGAGTTTTTATAGCCGTTCCGCTACGGACTGCACTTTTTTTTATCGTAACGGAGTGCGGAAATTGTTCATAAATATTGGAATCTGAAGCTTCAAATTCTATAAAGTAGACCTAGTGTTTGCTGAAAAGCTAATTAAGCATAACGCTAGGTGTGTCTGATGGGACCTGGCGGCCAGACCGAATCTTCAAAAGCCATGGTCGTTCAGAGGGTGGATAAGGCGATACAAGAACCTGATATGGCTTCATGAGCGTTCCTAACTAGTTCAGCTGCCCCCAATTTCCTCGTTCCACGAAACCTTTAAGGATCTAATTTTATCTCGTGAGCTGAATTATTGCTTAGAAAGTGGGTGTGCAATATCTATCGATTGTCCATATGCAGGAGACAAAGAGAAACATGAGTGAAGTGCATGACTTAAGCCCGTTTCGGACAAGGTAATTTTTCGAGCTCTCTACGTCGTTCTCGACGTAGCTCACCGTAGCACAAGGAGTATTTCTATTGGAAAGCTCCACGGGCAATACCCTATTACGTGCCAGAGTGCATCACGCACCTATCTAATATGGACGCCCGCTAGGCACTCGCCCTTGCTTTGGTTCAGGAGTGGGAGGGGGGGGGGGTAGAAAAGAATGTGGCTGGATGAAAAGATCTATGTGGGATTAGCTTAGGATTGCGGAGCGGGAGCAGAAGGGGCGAATCTCCTCAGACTCCAGGGTTCCTTTTGCCGTGATGACACTTCTTCGAATAACAGAATCGCGCTTTTCTTGGGAGTTTCATTAGTCATGCCTGTAACGCGTAATCACAGGCGTAATGAGAAAGATAGCGAACAGAAGTTACAAGGCTTTCACACTTAGATTTCACTCTTGAGAGCAATCTTTGTTTTCTAGCCAAGGATCGGCCCGGAAGTATTCCGTTCTTGCTTGCTTTCTTTTCCTTCTCTTTCCATGAGCTTCTATTTTACGGCTTACTGTAAGAATTCCCGAGGAAAAAAAACCTGTCTAGTCTCAAGCAGGGTTGAACGAACCCCAGATTCTTCGAGAGCCAGTGAGCAAGTTCGTGCGCATTGCCGTCTAGCGAGTTAAACATTTCTGAAGACTCAGAGTAGCATCCCTCGTCCACTCCAAGACACACACACACACGTGCACGTCAGATTCTCCATACTAACACATAGTGTGAATCATCAGAACTTCACGTACGTCAGCAAAATATTATGAACCTTTAGAGGTGTATTTGTAAATTCTAATTTGGATATACTGCATAGTCCAAATAAGCTGATTCAATACAAGCTACATATATTAATTCCCTTTCCTAACTGATTTAGGTATATGCTTTCATCGAAATTTTCGATTAGGTACACCCTATGCCCCCCGAGTACTCCCCAAATGTACCACTGGCGGAGCTCGTCTTTCATGTTTCACTGCTATTGGCCCTGCTTTCAAGTTTCCAGACTCTTCGGACCCTATCGCAAGCAGTCACCGTTGTACAGTAGAATGGACCCCCATTTTCCCGTTCAGACTCTCGCCTTATGCTTCTTGATTCCACCACTGAGTTTACTACATTTTCCCCGATTGCGAACCCGAATAAAACAGCCACTCCTGGTGCTTGTACTGAGCTGTCTTTCGATCCTTCATCTCCATTCAAGTGTCAGTCGTGACTGAAGAGCCCAAATACCCGTCACAATATCCTCTACATTTCCGTTCCCTTTCTCTCGATTGTTTTCAGCGTCTGCAGTCCTCCAGAACTGATGACTCCTACTAATTAGCGATTCCCTCCCCCAACCCAGAAGAGAGAAGGCCTTGCTGATAACGAGATGACATGACACGATACTGTCGGATGTGTCGTGGAAATGAAGGAAGCCTTGGCGGATTTTCTTTTTTATTGGAAGCCTTCCACACGCGAACGGAATTCCCGGAATCCCTCGATCACGCAACGAGATAAATAATTACGTCTTTTGACTGCGGGACACCTACATTACAGAATCAGCACTCTGCAGGAGGCTGGGGGGGGGGGGGAGAAAAGAAATTCTAAGAGGTTAAGAATTCAGGAAGAAGAAAGATCGTGTTCTGGTATCAGCAATTCAATGTGGAGAATGGAAACGAAGAAAAACGAGAGGGAAAGAAAACGGCAGGGAGGAAGGGTTTCTTTCCACGGCAATTGTTTCTCCTCTACGCACAAAGAAGTCAAATCTACCCTTGGATTCACATCAGATACCTCTGGGAGTCCCGAATCTGGAAATCCATTCAGTTTCCCAATTTTTTTTTTTCCTTAGGCAAGATAATGCTCTCCCACTGATCTGACTGGAAGGGATGCGAATACATTTTCGTTCATGAGCCGACCAGAAAAATAAGGGGGACGAGACTGAATCCCTGGCTCGGGGCCAGACCCCCGAAAAGCAAGCACCAAAGACGAGGAAAGAGCAAGGAAAGGGAGGGAAAAAGTATATCACTCAGTCGAGTCGGCGAAATAAAAGACGATTCCGTCAATGAGGAAACAAAAAAAAACCACCATCTTGGACTTAGGCTTTTGTTAAGTCCACTTCTCAAGTTATGCTTTAGGTTGGATGCAGACTTTGGAAGTGGACGTTCCACCTTCTTAGGTGGAACGAAGACTGGCTAGCCTCCTTTTCGGGCCTCTGTCCTAAATTTCCATTCGAAGTCTCGGGTAAGCCCAATTCTCAAATGTAATTTATAACATAATTTTTATGTTAAATTATAATTATTATATAATTTTATAAACAAATTATTTCGGTTATAATTTTTTTTTCCATGGGAGATTTCTTGTGTTCGAGAACCACTGACCTAAAGCAAGCTGAAAGTCTCATAGAACTGCTCAATGACTTACTATCCCTTCTCCTTACAAAAAGGAAGACAAAGGAATCGGACACTCCTGGCATTCATCAAGGCACAGCGTAAGGGACTGAGCAATCGAGACGGGATTTGAGAGAGGAAGGATCTTCTCTGCCCTTGAATGCATCCTCGTCCCCCAAATGATGTAACAGACAATGAGAAGAGAAAGGGAACGGACACTCACGGAGTTCGTCAAAGTAGAAGGGGAAAAGTCCAGGGATGGAGCAATTGAGGCGGGCTTTAAGAAAGGATGACCATCTCTTGGATGCACCTCCCACGGATCCCCCCGGGTCATTCTTGCACACTCGACCCACTCGGGAATACACCGCCTAGCAAATAATTACTCTCACGTCAAATCAACTGACCATAATGACGGAATCCATGAAGCTCGTCCAACGGTTTGAGCTCACCTTGCCGCAGTTTGAGTACTCCACTGCCAGTTCCCGGAAGAAGAAAAAGACGAAGTCCCCCTCTGCCGTAGAACTCACGAAATCCGGGTCTGGTAATAGAGAAAAACAAAGGCCAATCATAGGAAGTGTAATGTCCGTGCTTTTCTGACGGCAAAACCCGTTATGACTTCAATAATGGGGTAAATGAAGGGGTTCCCTAGTTCCGCATTTTCTTTATTTACCTGAAAAGTGCTCCAGGTCGTACTGGCGAGTCCTCAGGGGTTTCCGGTAGATCAACGGATCTGCGCCTTGGAAGTCCGCGTAGGAAGCAGAAAACAAATGGCCCTCTGTAAGCAATAACAGATCAAAGTCATCATCGTATCTATTTTTTTCCAGCAGGAAAGTGGAAAATGCTTTTCTCTCCAGACCGTGATAGAGCGCCGTGGAATTGAGTTTGGGATCGTGGGGGCAGAGGATCTTGCCGTTCTCTTCCTCAGCCTTCACCAATCCTTTCTCCTAGGAAGAAGGGGAAGCGAGCTGGAGTGAATCCAGAGAATTATTGGATCTCATTTCCCCCATATATATGGGAAGAATATGGCAGACAGATGCGTGGTCATGAATTCCGATGGGAAGGGGACCTCAAAAGGTTCAAGGGGAGAAGTGTTCAATCCCACTAGTCGGGAGTCTATAGATTCTAGCTCTAAACCTTTCTCCCTCTCCCACGGACAGAGGCTAACACGATTACCACGAATTGCCCCGGAACCTAGACTCCACTAGGTCCTGAGAACGGTGGCTTCGAATATAGACAGTCGAGACTCTCGGCTCTGGGAGGGTTCAGAGGGGATTATGTTGAGGGTGGCTAATTCAGATCCCCTAGGGCTCTCCTCATCCATGACAGTGTATCCACATAAGCAGGGCACCCCAAAACAAAGTATCTGCTTTACCGCGATCCAAACTTAATTGTACTTATTTCTGTAAGGTGTTCAAAATGGTGACCCCGACATCAATGCAGTCTTGGTAACGGGCAGGAACTGAACACCACACCTTGTTTGACACATCCGGCATCATGTCTAATTAGGTCTACGTCTTACCTATATTACCTGATCAGACGAAATTTAGTTAATTTAACCATTTTCTTTTGGGTCACCCTGTACACCTATTCCGCATATCTTCTTCCTTCTTGGGAGAAAGACGGAGTCAATCCAGAATCGGAATAAGGGTGCAGGTCTATTGATCTTGGACCAACCTCACCCTCTCTTCATCTTTCCCTTCTGCCTCGCGCCCGAAACCGACCCTCTCCCACGCCATGAATCATGAGATGTTCCTCATTTCCCTCGGGAACGGGAACATGAGATTGAATGCATTCCAGCTTTTCTTCCCTTTCTTTTTCTTTTCAGATCCCTAGGACGTTCAGCGGATGCCGTAAAAAAAAAATAGAAAAAAAAGTTTAAAAAAGAAAAGGGGGACAATACGAAAAAAAAACATGACACGATCACAACATAAGCAAGGCTACAACAAGGTTACTAACAAACGAAAGGGTATTTTAAAATAAAATATAGGTAAATTATCAAAGCGTCGAAAAGTGGGGCGATACGAGGACATGCCAATATCGATATTGCAGTCATCTTAAATGTACGTAGGGCACTCAGGAAGTTTCGGGATGTGACTTCATGGAAAGGGTCACACATGAAAGCCTTTCTACACCTTTAGCTCCACCTGATATGAGGCTATGCGCAGATTTTCAAATATATACTTCTTCAGGGATTCGATTAATGGCATTTCATACCCCGCATTCCTGCGAGTTTTTTGGCCTCCGTCACAACTGTTTGGTGCGAAGTTCGTCTCTCATTGCTCACCACTCCCGCCTCAAAATTCAGGAAACCAGAATAACGTTATACTGGATCACAGGGCTCCCCACCCGCAAATGCACCTTGCAACCTGCCAATGCTCTGCCCTTGTATTAAGCCACATTAGAAATCACAAAAGTTCTCGTTCGCTTAGTTCCATTGCCAGAGAAAAAAAAAGCTTGCAGATATGCAAGATATAAAAGGGCGTAAATAAAATACCCGACGAAGGATATATTTGAAAAATTTCACAAAGACACATATCAAGTGGAGCTGGAAGTGTAGAAAACCTCTAATGTGTGATCATTTCCATGAAGTCACATTCCGAAACTTTGAGTGCTCCATGTATATATAGCGAGTACATTCGACACTACGCATAACAAACAAAATAGTGTAAAACTGGTAGCATGACAAACACACATTAGAAAGGGATATATGGAATCCTGAGAGGGACAGACAGGCACCATAATAATTTAGTTGAAAGCGTCTGCAAACGAAAAAGAACTGAGGAATAATCAAACGAATAGGTGAAAATAGGCATCCATGGATACAGTATATATGGTGGTCTAGTTTAGCTGATACGTTCGGTTCCTTCTCTGTTCTTTTTTTGATATTTGACACTTTCAAACAAGCTTTCTTCTACTGACCTCAGCCCGGCGTTACCTCACATATCCAAATATATACAGTAGAACAGAGAAGTGACTGACCTCGGAGCGATATTCCCGGCAAAGAGGGCTGAAGGCATGGGTACCACACACGAAGTAGGACCCTGAATCCAGTGGAACCATGACTCGGATGTAGTTCTGGCACTCCTCCTTCGTATTCACACAAGATCAAAACATTTCAATTCATCATCGGTTGATGACGAGGTTTTTTCTTTTAGAGACAGACAGGTTATGTACACTGAGGTGAAATGAGGATTGTGTGCAGATCCAATTGAAGGGGGAGGGGGAGAACGGGGGTGGAGGCGTGGATCAATGAATGGATCCCCTTCCCATTCCCATACCCCTCCCTCTTTCCCTTCGTCGTCTCCTCCTCCTCCCGTTAGCAAGAGTTATTAGAAGAAACCTCTGTCCCTGCCCTGTGCCTAATCGTGCCCTCAAGGCCATGGGCCTTACCTCTCGCTGAGTTAGTCCTTACATTCCCATTAAGGAGGAATGGCGGTGCTCGCAGCTGGAGCCGTGATAAAACCTCCTTAATGGCTCTTGCCTTTTCATCCATCCGTACGACTGCTTCTCTTTTCCTCTTCTTTCTCCCTCCTCTTTCTCTCCGAATCTACCATCTCAATATCCAATCGTTTCCCTTCTCCATTCTCAGCACTTGCGTATTACTACACGTATAATGGACACCCCCTTAGTCACCGAAGCTCTCTACACGATGAAACGGCACAGAGGTAACAAGTAGCCCCCTTAAAGCAAAGAAAAGCCTTGAACTCGATTCGAGCGGAGAAGTCAAAGTGAAGGATTCGATAATGCGGCACGTGTGGGAGGGAAGAGAGAAGAGCATCAACAGGCTGATTGACACGACATGGGGAAATGAAGCCCCCTCACAGCCCCACCCCCCGCGTGATGAAAGGGTTTTGGGCCCAGAAAAGGGAAAGGGGGAAAGGGGAGAAAAGGACAAAAGGTCGATAAGTGCATGCAGGGAGGAAGCAGATTATCCTCTTTTCCCCTCCCCTGCAAAAGCTTTCGAATCATGCTCCCTCTTTCTGAATAGGAACCCCTGGAAGAAGGGTTCAACCGCTACTATGAATGTGTACCAAGAGAATCATCGCGCTTCGCTTCAGATCTCCAATAAATCCCAGAGCTGTGTTGCAAGATACATTGGCCACGAAACGAGATTAAGTTTGAAAAACAGCAATAAATAGCAGATCAATCGAACTTGTCGAGAACAAAGCGGCTAATATATCTGATACCGACTGCGTGTACCCATATATACGGGTATTTCCAGGCAAGGGAAAAAAAAGCCAATGACAAAAAAGAATCAACGGACTGGGGAAAGGTTATGGGGGGGCGGGCTAGGGGGGTCGGTGACGTGCGGGAATATCAATAAATTCTCCCAAAGAAATACTAAGTGCATCAAAGGAGGTATTCTGAAGTCATGGAAAAGCAGCATGAAAAATAAAAAGAGCTAACTGTGGTAATGATCTCAGAAACTGCGGACAGCAAAGAAGTCACATTTGTTATAACTTCAGATATCTAACAGGAGTGACCCAGAGTATTTATTATTCCCTCCACTTTGTTTCAATTATTGTACGTTCCTTTTGCTACTTCGTGTTCCTCATGGTGTTGCCTTTAATTGCAGTCCGGCGAAACATTGGAAAGAGAAAAATCATGCTGCATAATTCAAATGAAATTGAAGCAAAAGGGAGATCATGACAAATGCTGTCCATCATTCTTAGTCCCAGTTGCAAATAGACGACAGTGATCAAAAGATCCTATTTTCGCCAACAACGGCTTGTCGATGCTCCATAATGGCGTATGTTTGATCCTTTCGGCCATTTACTTTATGGAATGGGTGGAAAGGAACTGGAAGGAACCTTCACTGAGCTTGGTTAAATTTCCAACGTTCACGGTTTTGTTTCATTGTCCAGCTCACCCCCTATGAAAACCCCTGATCGTGCCCTTCGCCTTCATTTTTCCTCTCCAAATCAGTAGATACGACCCAGGTATATACCGGAATGAGTGACATAGATCTTCCAGGAAGAGGAGGAGGAGAAGGAGGAGGAAGAATAAGCCATAAAAAGGGCGGAGGGAGAGGGGCAAGCATGGGAATGGCACCAGGTGGAACATATCCTCGAACCCCTACAAAACTTATCTCAGCCCCAGGGATGGGCTCTCCCCTCATCTCCTCTTTACGTTATTTATCCGATTTCTCGGAAATGACGCCCCCAATGGAGACAAAATGATCTGATTTTTTAGTCCCTCATGCATCCGAAGGAAGCACAACAGTCGAAGGAATCTGACATTTCCTGGCCATGGGTTCAATATGATTCGTGTTAGTGTATCAACGTTTCGTCAGCTAAAACAACTCGAAAGTTTGGCAGATTCTTTCAACTTGTACGAGCTATATAACTCCTTAAACGTTCTTGGTATACTGCATCGAAAGCTTCAGTCTGCTCCGAGACAACTCAAGCCTAGCTGACCTAAAGTTTTAGGTAGTCGGTTGAATTAGCAGTCTCTGCACCTTCTCATCACAAGAGCTGACAAAAACCCGTCGCCAAGGGAATTTCATGAGATATAATGAAAAAGGGGAAGGACGTAACGGACATATGGATGGAGAGGTGCCAGGCCCGAGATCAACCTGTCAAGGCTCTCTGAGCCTTCCTCCCTTCCTCACAATGACATCAATCTCTTCCCTCTACTCTTCCATCTCCTTCTATCCGACTGGACTTTCATTCATTTCACTGATCCACTTCCACATGAAACTGCCTCTCCATTCATTCATTCTACAGAGTCTGCCTCCCCGATCGAAAAAGAAACTAGAACGGAAGAACCAATCTCATTTCACTCACTTTTGATTTTCCCTTCATGTGACACATATGATAGTCTTTCTCCTGAGGTTTCCACTCCAATGCCTGCGAACAGAAGAGGAAATTTTTTACTTCCAAATCGCAAATTTCTACCTAGTAACATTTTGCAGCTGGCCTCAGATTTTTACATATACTTTTAAGGGAGGTCTCACCTGAAGAACTGTCAGGTCCCGAAGGCTCACATTATATATCACATTTCTGAAAGAGAAGAAAGCCATGTCAAGTCCAGAATGCACTGTTACAGAAAACTAGAAGAGGCAGAACACAGAGGGGCAGAGCACTATCAGATGAGATGAGAAGATAAAAATTTGATGGGCCATTGGTCTGACGTAGGTCTCTTCAATATTTCAAGGCTTTGCATGAAGGTGTCATGGTGTCCGCGAAGGTGGGCTGAGTATGAGGGATGGAAATATCGAGCGGGGGAGTTATTTTCAGTCCCTGATGCATATCACGCGAAGTCGCAGACGATGACGTCAATGATCGGGACACCAACATTATTATATAGAACTGTCTCTCGCAGAAAAGGCAAGAAAAGGGCAGAACAAAAGGAAACAAAAAAAAAAGATAGCAGGTTTACTTGGATCCGATGATGAGGGAATCCCTGGCAGGAAGGACGAGTCGAAATTCCTCGCTCTCGCTCGAGTTCCCCTGGAACACCCACACGTCTTGCTCTGTAAAAAAAAAAAAAATACGAGTCGATCTCAGATTCGTTTGAAGGGCAAGGTGAGGCAAGTGCATTCAATCATACTAGGGCAGTTTCGCAGCGTTTCATACAGGAATTTGGAGCTAATTAAATAATGGTTACTTGCACAATCAATGCTTGAATTATTTATGTGTCAGCTCTGCATTTGGCTTAGTAGCATCTAATTGCGAATCCAAATGAGTAAGATGGAATAGAACTGCTACTACTTGATTTGTCCACTGAATTCTGTCCAAATCATGGGTTCGGTAACAAGAACAGCAGGGCATACTGCTCATTTGCTAAATTTCTATTGTGGAAACAGAAAGGCCTATTTCACACTCCTGCACGCTGCTTGCGGCGAAATGCAGCACTGTATCACATAATCTACTGGAATCTCAAAAATAGGAATGGTTTTTATTAAATCCAGCACGCTGCAGGACATGAACTCTCTAGCTGGACTGGGTGTAGACACAAGCTGCTGTACAGCATTTTTGCTGCATTGCCGGATTGCAGTCCAGTATTCAGTGCAACATGCAGCTGCACAGCAGGAGTAGTAACTAAGCCTGACATGCGAGACACGGAATCCCTCCATTTATCGACCTCACAGACCACAGACAGCCTTGACACAGAAATCTCTCCATCTTCAGCCTGCATTGGGAACGCCAGCTTTTATTACATTATGCATAATGTATAGAAGAAAAAAAACTTATTTCGACTGCCTATCACTTACAAATTATTCACGACTCATAGCATTCTGATATTTCCTTTTTTAAAGAAAAAAAGTCGATTCATTGCGACATAACATGATTAGTGCCATGGTGATGTCCAATCCGTAGTTCCCGAGAGCTCTGCGTGGGATTCGCAGCTGTCAAAATAGAAATGATCGATACAGAGCAGCTTAATTGAGTCAAAAGTAATAAACAGTGTAGTGAGAACCGGGGTTTGTGGTCTCACTGTGCTTGAATCTTCGTGCGCGCGATCCACTGATAAACTGACCAGTGGGAGGTCGATGGCATAAAAATTCAGTTCCAAGCATATGCAGAGTTGCTCAAGAATTCAGTTGCATTCCATTTTGTACCTGTAAAATCTACCAAGTCACAGTCCTAGCCATTGTTAATGGTGACATGGAAATTTCCTATAACCAGTGCACAACGTATCTGGATCGATAAAAAGGCAAAACTTCCAATCTTGTAAAAAGACGCGAACGACAACAGTTCCTCCAGCCTCTGGCATCTTTCTGAAAAGTATCTTACCGCAGGAATTCTCACATCACCTTCGACAAAAAGCTCGTCTTTTGAAACTTTAAGTCACCGTGTCACCGTCACAGGAATATCAATTCCTGTGACGAGAAAATTCTGAAACTTGTCGCATGATGGCTATATTGAATGCAAACGAACTCGCGAAAATGTGCGAATTTACACATCGCCATCAAACTGATTATCTGGATAAAAGACGTTTTAAAAATTTTAACGGGAAAGCATTTTAAAAGTGCAATCTTCTTTTGGTAGTTTAAAATAACAAGAAAATCAGAGGTAAGTGAAATGCGATGGTACTTCTTAAGCTACCGTGTACTGCACAGGGTACATATATCAATAGAAATGACATCAACTTATTTTGTCCCTGAAGGTGTTTCGTTGTTAGTGTCCAGTCATCACAAACACGAATTCGTCCTTGCTCAATGCTTATTCGATAGTACCTAGGCTGATAGATACATAGATATATTGCGGTCCTTGTTCCCAAATCTAACGTCAGGAATAATTTACCTAGGCACCTTACGGAGGTATTCGAGCTATTTCCAGGGTCACCCATGATCAATAAGAATGAAGCTACGAAGAAAATATACATAAAGGCACAAGGAGGCCTCAGACAAATTTATCGCCGTTGCACTTGTTTATTGTTGCTATCGGATGCTCTTTGGAATAAGTCATATATTTTGCTGCTATTTTGTAATAGGAACCAGATATTTGATGCGTCAACTGGTGTTACATTTATGCATGCAATTTATCTGTCATCGTTGTTGCCAGTAGAGATGCATAATTTTCACACTTTAGAATATGCTATTAAAAAAAACTTGTACTTCAGTGCATGGCAAAAAAAAGATATTGCTGAGAAAGTTAGTTAAAATTTATTGAAATACACTTTCCAGTTCAGTATTTTGACAATAAACGTACTTATTGAATCCAATATATATAACTCAGATTCTTGCCTGCTCCTTAACTTCTGTATGCATCTTCTCATCTACAGGTATATTCAGTACGAAATTCTCAACTCCTAGGCATGTCCTAAAATGACATTAATGAACTACTTCCAGGATCTCTGCAGCTGAGAGTGAGGATGCCCATCAGCACCTTCATGCAATTGGATCTAATTTATTTTCCATTACTCTATTTCAATGAGAGATGGAATGGGAAACATATGAAATATGTATGCATCCAGGGCCGGCGCAAGTACCCCTGCGTCCCCTGCGGCCGCAGGGGGCCTCCACAGAATCCAGGGGCCCCAGCCCCGAGATGAAGAAATAAGTAATAAATAAGATAGGAAGAACGAAAGAAAAAGAGAAAATTTTTTGAAACGCTACGAGTTATTCCGAAAGAAGATCCAATCCACGGAGAATATTTCCTAGGTCTTCCTACTCTGGACAGGCGAGAAGGCCGAGTTGGGCGAAATTCGTCACCGCCCCAATACATGGAAAGTATTTATTATTATTAAATTTCAATTCCTCCATCCTTCCCGCATGAAATCCTTGCGCTTGAATGCACGCACTCCAGGTGGTGAGAGAGACGTCCGCGTAAAAGGGTCTACCTCGTTTTCATCCCGTTCCCTCTCTCGTCTCCCTTGATCATGTTGTGAAATGTCTATTCATTATCGAGTCATCGATAAAGTTGCAACGCTTGAATTCAACAAAACGTGGACGCATGGAAATATGCACAAATATTCGAAGTATACTTGTGTATGGGGCTATGGCGCCAGAACCACCTTAAGTCAAGGCGCCAATTGATAGGCCAATTGTGGCCTACTGCTTTTGACTTGCAGAAAATAGCCGTATTAGCTGCCATTATGCTTTATTAATTAAAAAATCTCAGCAAGTTAATAATATGGACAAAAGTGTCCATATCAATACCAGTTTGCAGTATCTACTCTGTCTGGAATATGTACTATCAATACTAATTACAAACGGGTGGCAACCCTAATCGATGGTACCCGTGCAAAGTTTAGACACCATTTACCAAGGTTAACTTCAACTTTACGTAAACGTGATGTCATTTTGATGGCAATCGCAAGAAATTTACATTGTTTGCAAAAAATTGATATCTTGTTTACGTGAACATGCTGCTTGGGTTTAGTACTCTTGAGTGCTGGCGAGGATGAGTACTCGTGTACTTGTCCAACCACCCTTGAGTTCTGAAGAATATAAATGAATAGGAGATTCAGTATATCAATTATCTTCAATGGTACTGCATGTCTCTTTAAATACGCATGAATGCCAGGGGAAAATTAACATAAATCTTACGTAAAATGAATGTAAACATGTTGTATGGAATTCAAAGTAAAATGAATATAAACATGCTGTATGGAATGCAAACAGGAATGTCAATTTTACGTAAAATTTACGTTAATTTTATATCACCGTTTACGTATCACAGAGGTGACATTTCTGCAATCATGTTGACATTTTCTTGACAATGGTTTGCGCAAAAATGATATAAAATGGACAAAGAATTTACATTCATTTTACGTAAAATTAACATAAACATGCTGCTTGGGCGGGGAGATGGAGATGGCATGCTTCATCCTCTCTGTCTTGAGAGAGAGAGAGAAGCATGCCAAATTTCGCCCCTGTTGATGTTCTCAGAGAGGAATATGAGACGGTTGAATTTTGTCTCCGGAAGGGATTGAAGAAAGGTAATGCCGCTAACAAATCCCGTTGGTATTGACGTATACTGACACTGCTATTTATTCTGCCGCACCCGTTACTTGCTCCGAGATTTGAGGTACTCGCTGGAACTTGATTGGGGATCGAATCTCAGACGTGGAAAGCCTGCACACTGTTTCGCCACTCCATGTCGCTCTTTCCGTTTCGGTAATACGTGTCGCTCTTTCACATCTAGAGCAGAGAGTCAGGTGGAATCGACATTTTTTCTCTCACCGTCGCGTCGTGACCTAAATATAAAGCGTGGATGAATCGTGCAAGAACTCCTCAGTCTAAAAGTAGCAATTAGTGCGCGGCACGATCTGGGACTGGAGAGGACACGAAATCCCTCGCACGATAGATCAGGCCAATTTATTAGTGTGAACAGTCATGAAACTCTCCCGAAACCTGAGCTCTAACTCGGAGATGGAGCCGTCTGAACTAAGTTCTTAATAAACTTTCACTCGAGCTTAGAGATGCTTAGAGATCAGTAGTTGTAATAAATCGACACGGTGGCGAACATGATGAAAGGTGTGATTTGACTCTCGAGACTTCCACTTTGGGGATGAACCCAGGTAGAGCATAACATTGATTCGACGTTGATTCGGTGCGGATCGAATGTATCGCTGTTGAAGGTTTATACTTCCATGTTGCATTAACATTGGTTCGACGCGGGTGACCGTCACCGTTTCAACTCCCACATTGACTCAACATTCAATTGAAATCAATTCACGGGGGAACTGTCAATATTAAATCGGCCTATATTCAGTGTGTGTAATATTTATCAAAAAATAAATTCGAGTTGATAGGAATTAAAATCGGAATGCGAACAGTAAGTTGAGGGTGACGACCTCTGCCAGCAGCCGGCATTACAAAGAAACCTCTCGTGCCGACATATTGATACATAGACTGAAGAAGTATAGGAAATGTGTAGGGAGCCTGGGGAACCGAAAGGTGCGCCGACATATTGTATTATTTGAATATCACCTGGACACGATCTCCATCCTCCGAATCCTCTTTTTTAACAGTATCCCCCCTCCAAGGACAATGCGATCCTAATACCGAGATGAGAAAGAGTCATCCCATTCCCCCGGAAGTAGGACACCCGCGTGATTACTGTGATGCAATTATAGGCTATCCTCATTCCACGTATCCTTCGGCAGTGATCATCATTTGGATTCATCCTCGAAGACAGGGCGCCGTTGTCTCATGGAGTAACATGACCTTGCAAACTGTTTTGCAAACATCACCCTGGTCAGAATTATCCTGGGTCTTTGGTTGAGTTGCCACTTAGGTCGAAAATAAGCAGGAAATCAAAAACCTTTCGCGGCGTCTTTTGTGGAGAAAATATCAAGTACTGCTCCAAAAGTACAAGAGACGCGTACCGATTACATAAATACGGTAAGTAACTACGTTGGGCAAGCAGTCGCCATCACACTTTGCGGTCAGGAAGTCTTGTTTGTTCGTATGTCTCGCCAGATGTCTCGCTCGAAATCTGTTATGTTCAGGGCCGGCGCGAGTACCCCTGCGTTCCCTGCGGCCGCAGGGGGCCTCAGCAGAATCCAGGGGCCCCAGCCCCGAGAGGAAGAAATAAGTAATAAGTAAGATAGGGAGAACGAAAGAAAGAGAGAAAAAATTTTGAAACGCTACGTGTTATTCCGAAAGAAGATCCAATCCACGGAGAATATTTTCTCGGTCTTCCTAGGAAAGGCGAGAAGGCCGAGTTGGGTGAAATCCGTCACCGCCCCAATGCATGGAAAGTATTTATTATTATTAAATTTTAATTCCTCCATCCTTCCCACATGAAATCCTTGCGCTTGAATGCACGCACTCCAGGAGGTGAGAGAGACGTCCGCGTAAAAGGGTCTACCTCGTTTTCATCCCGTTCCCTCTCTCGTCTCCCTTGATTCATTATCGAGTCATCGATAAAGTTGCAACGTTTGAATTCAACAAAACGTGGACGCATGGAAATATGCACAAATATTCGAAGTATACTTGTGTATGGGGCTATGCCGCAAAAACCCAGAACCATCTTAAGTCAAGGAGCCAATCGATACTATGAGAGTGTGGCCTACTGCTTTTGATTTGCGGAAAATAACCGTATTAGCTGCTATTAAGCATTATTA